TCAAACCTTCCTACAGTTAGGGTCACCTCAAACTCCTGTTTGGCCAAACCTTCCTACAGTTAGGGTCAAAACCATAATTCACTCTCGATAAACGAGAAATTCATCTTTAGTTCAGTAATCAAACCTTCCGACAGTTAGGGTTATCCGAATCTTTTCGATTCTCAGAGTGGAGATTCCACTCTTGGTTTCACCCTTCCGGATTCTGGGGGTGGAGATCCCACCTCGAGTTTCCTTTCCAGCTGAAGATAGAATACAAAATTCTTCTTTTCAACATCGGGAGATAGAATATAAAATTCTTCCTCTCCCATTTCGGGTTCGTCTTTGCCCCAAGAGAAGACACCATCTTATTCAACTCCCAAAATCTGTGCCTCACGGGTACAGGGAAGTTTATCCCGAATCCTAAGCAGGGATAAGTCAACGCCTAACACGCGTTGCCGGTTTAGTCTTTCACCGATTGAAGAAGACACTAGAATTCCAGTCTAGGAAGTTTATCCCGAATCCTAAGCAGGGATAAGTCTGCGCCTAACACGCGCTGCCGGTTTAGTCTTTTTCCGTAGAAAAAGACACCAGAGTTCGATTCTGGGGTATCCTCTCCTGAAACCTAAGCAAGGATAAGTCTGCGCTTAACCCGCGCTGCCGGTTAGTTCCTAACCGTTAAAAAGAACACTCGTCCGCATATTCAACATTGCGGCAGGTTGTTATTAATAACACCAAAATCCATGCCTTACACGCATGGGGAATTTCATCCTGAATCCTAAGAAGGGATATGCCGACGCCTAACACGCGTCACCGGTTTAGTCTTTTTCCGTAGAAAAAGACACCAGAGTTCGATTCTGGGGTATCCTGTCCTGAAACCTAAGTCACCAACCTTTTCCAAGAATTTATCAATCTAGGATTCATCCTAGGAAGTTTATCCCGAATCCTAAGCAGGGATAAGTCTGCGCCTAACACGCGTCACCGGTTTAGTCTTTTTCCGTAGAAAAAGACACCAGAGTTCGATTCTGGGGTATCCTGTCCTGAAACCTAAGCAAGGATAAGTCTGCGCTTAACCCGCGCTGCCGGTTAGTTCTTAACCGTTAAAAAGAATACCCGTCCGCATATTCAACATTGTGGCAGGTTGTTATTAATAACACCAAAATCCATGCCTTACACGCATGGGGAATTTCATCCTGAATCCTAAGAAAGGATATGCCGACGCCTAACACGCGCCGCCGGTTTAGTCTTTCTCCGAAGAAAAAGACACCAGAGTTCAATTCTCTGGGGTATTTTATCCCGAAGCCTAAGTAGGGATAAAGTCAACACCTAACACGTGTTGCCGGGTAGCTTATTCCCGTAACAATGGCGAAGTCTACGTATTCGAAGTCGTAGCATCAAGTCTAAGGGGTTTCATTCCTTAGCACAACGTTACATGTGGAACGGATTTAGACAATCCGCATGCTAGCCCGACTCAAACGGTAGTCGGTAAAGGCTCATCAAACCCAAAATCCTAAAGTCAACGCCTAACACGCATCGCCGGGTAGTCTATTCCCGTGAGAAAGACGAAGTCTACGTATTCAATATCGTAGCACTAAGAGCGTTAACTCTCTTAGCACAACGTCACATGCGGAACGGATTTAAACAATCCGCATGCTAGCCCGATTCAAACGGTAGTCGGTAAAGGCTCATCAAACCCGTTGAGGGCTGCGGGTTTGCCAAAAATCCTATAAATGCGAGAGTCACTGACGCATCAGCTTCATTAGTTAGTCTCGTGACTTGAGCATCCTACGACATTCGAAACCCTAGGGTCAACGTCGGTCAAACGCGTAACCCTAGGTCAACGCCAGTCAACGCGTTGCGATCAAAAAGTCAACGTACGACATTCGAAACCCTAGGGTCAATGCCGGTCAACGCGTAACCTTAGGTCAACGCCAGTCAACGCGTTGCGATAAAAAGTCAACGTACGACATACGAAACCCTAGGGTCAACGCCGGTCAACGCGTAACCTTAGGTCAACGCCAGTCAACGCGTTGCGATCAAAAGTCAATGTACGACATTCGAAACCTTAGGGTCAACGCCGGTCAACGCGTAACCCTAGGTCAACGCTAGTCAACGCGTTGCGATCAAAAGTCAACGTATGACATTCGAAACCCTAGGGTCAACGCCGGTCAACGCGTAACCCTAGATCAACGCTATTCAACACGTGGCGATCAAAAAGTCAGCGTACGACGTTTAAAACCCTAAGGTCAACGCCGGTCAAAGCGTAACCCTAGGTCAACGCCAATCAATGCGTTGCGATGAAAGAATCAATACTCCGAAAAGTATACGAGTATAAACTGCTTCTTAATACTCCGAAAAGTATACGAGTATAAACTGCTTCTTAAATACTCCGAAAAGTATACGAGTATAAACTGCTTCTTAATACTCCGAAAAGTATACGAGTATAAACTGCTTCTTAATACTCCGAAAAGTATACGAGTATAAACTGCTTCTTACGCCAACAATCGATGGTCAGCTAAAGATTAGCAAATCAGGAATCGACTTCAAGTTTAAAATTCCGACAGCGGTCAGACAATAAATGCAGTACCGGAACTCTTACGGACGTTCGACAAAGCACCGAATAGCCTGGAGAATTGAAGGAATCAAGAACAGAAGCCATTCCAAGGTCCCGTTACACCGACTGAAGGTTGGGACAATCATATCCAAAGTATTCCAGGCTCTTTTATAAAAGAACGAGACTGAAATACTTTGGAGGGGGTATCTGTAGGCATATAAAATTGCTTATAGGTCCTTTAGCACAGTTCGGCACAAACCGACAAACCAACGAGGCGACGAGATCGACGAATCGCACGCAAGCAATGGATGCTCTGTCCGTGTGGATCAAGCAACGGTTCGGGGAGTCAAACGAATATCCAAACAAGAGTGATCGATGAATAACTGACGATATAAGATGGATTTTCGGACTCGAATCGAAATAGGCGGATTTACTGCGAAATCAGGATCCGGAACATCAGAGTCCAGATCTAACAGTAAAGGCTCAGGTAAACGATAAACTGTGAACCGATTGACGGACTGATCGCGATGCGAACACCGAAAGGAGGCTCGGAACCAATCATCGAGGCACGATTCACCGGCCAGCTTGGGTGGCATCGGCCATCCGAGCCACAATGGTGGCTCGGCCAAAGCCGAGCCACCCCAGGGTGGCTCGGCCAAGGCCGAACCACCCTGGGGTGGCTCGGCCCAGTGCTGGCCACCCAGAGGTGGCCGACACTGTTCCGTGCGCGGGCACAGTAAAGGGTGCCTATAAATAGGCCACTTGGTTCATTTGTTCAAGGGTTGGAAATTTTGGAGGCGAAGCTCTGCCGGATTCAAGACTCGAAACTTAAAAAAGATTGGAGCTTTGGGACTTCGGGGACTCACTCTTCCAGATCTGGTGCTCAGCGATCGTCAACGCCAAAAAAGGCAGGTGTTTGAGAGGACCGGATCTCAGATCTACGCAGACGTACTCCGGATCTAAGCTTGGTCTTAGATCCCGAGATTTGGACGATTGTTTCCTTGGTGAATCAATCCTCCCCGGCTATTATTTCCTTTGTGGAATAATACCCGTTGTACTGCTTAGATCTGATCAGATCTAGATCTCGTGGTGGTCCACGGATAAACCCCGGCGCAGGCAAAGAACCCACACAAAGCAAGAGACCGTAAAACAGGATCTTGCGATTCGTTCGATACGAAAGGAGAAAGTTGTAATTTTCTTTATTTCTTGTGTTATTTGATTTTTGTTGTAACCGGATCTAAAAAAAAGACCGGATCTTTGTAATCGATAAACTATTACAAGAATTTGCAATGGAATCAATGATGAAGAAAACAACGATTTTTCCCGCGAACAGACTTGGCAAAAACAATTAACAAACATCACGTTATGATCCAGGCACAGTAAGAAACGCTTGCCCAGATGAATGAGATGCTGGTCCAGCTCCTTGCTGAGAAAGACCAAAAACCTGAATCTTCCCGGAGGATAATTCAAAGGGAAAACAGCGAGCACACGAGAGTTCTGATCATGAGACTCACAACCTAGAGTCTTCCTCCAAAAACAAGAAAGAAGCCGATAAAGAGTAGAGTCCTCAATCATCTAAGGTGGATGAACTAGAGGCTCGCCTCAACGCAATTGCTAACAGAAGCGAGCTTCAAAAAGAAGGAGTAGTACGCCCTTATCCTGCCGAATGGGACACAGCTCCCTATCCACCGAAATTTAAGGCCCCAACCCTACAACCTTTTGACGGTAAAAGATCGCCAAATCAACACATCTACTACTTCAAGTTGCAGACCGGAGATGTGGTAGCAAACGACACCATTCTAACTCACCTATTCATTGGTACTCTTAAGGGAGTTGCCTTCGAGTGGTTTTTGAAATTACCTGCTGGGTCTATTCGAAAATGGGTAGACTAGAAAGGTTTTTCTTAACCAGGTTTTTCGAGGGTGATACAGAAGTATCCATCCCAAACCTTCTTGCCACCAAGCAGCGGAAGGGAGAGTCCATCAAGGATTATGTTGAAAGATTTCGCAGCATGGCATTGAGATGCCCATCACGTCTGACCCAATCTACTTTGGTCAAAACTTGCAGGCGTAACTTGTAGACACTACTCCTTGCTCAAATAGGGGTAGCGGAGTGTCGCTCTTGGAGACGATTGGTTTCGTAAGGAGAACAGGCCGAAGAAATCGTCGTTCGGATTAAGGCTGAAGAAGCTACCCAACCAAAGCCACAATAACAACGCAGCCACAACAATGCTCCACGGTCCAAGGGAAAGGAGGCTTTGGCTGCCAATGTCGATACGCGGGCATCACCTGCTAAGCAAGACAAAGCACTAAATCAACAAAGAGCACCCCAAGCAGTACTCGTTTAAAGAGGAGCATGTGAACACTTTGTTTCAATTACTTCGGAAGAACAACAAGCTGTAACTTCCCAAAATCAAGAAACTGAATGAGGCAGGAAAAGTGGATGACCCTAATTACTGTCGTTATCACAGGTTCTTAGGACATCCTACTAGAAAATGCTATGTCTTCAAGGATATTCTGCAAAACCTAGTGAATGTCAATGTGCTTACGTTGAAGCCCGAGCAGAAGAGCATATCCACCAATTTGATAACGGTCCAGTTCAGCGATTTCCCTTTGGAAGCAGCTGTAGATGGTGTTGTTCCCATCCCTAAAGAGGAAATGCACAGGAAAAATACTGACCGGCTTGGTCAGAAAGATAAAGGGTTGTCACCTCTCACCACTTCGAGTGGAGAGATTATGTGGATTCATCCCGATTTGATTAAAGACCAACAGTGGACGAACACCTCGTCCAAAAAGAAAAGAGGTAAGGCTAAGTCATCCAATATGATTAGCCCCTCCATTAATGAGAATGGTGATCAACTCAAGCATCTCACGAACTTAGAAGAAGAGAGGATTGTTCTTACAGCAGACCAAGGAGGCAACCCTGGCACTCGGTCAGGAAAAGTTTATCTAAGGAACTATAATCAACATGCTTAAGAAACAGAAGAATAGCCCCAAGATACTGGGGGTTCTGTCCCTCATAAGTTAGCCGACAAAGGGAAGCATAAAGAAACTCGGTATAATAAAAACCTTTTCCATGAACCCGGAGAATCAAGCACTCCCTTCCGATTCAATGTCATGGCACAGTTGGCCAACATACCGGCTAGGATTACCCTGTACGAGCTCCTGTGATTGTCTAAAACCACCAAGGAAGCTCTAATTGAAGCTTTAACAAATGCGGAAAGCTTTATCACGCAGATTACTCTGATTCCTGAAGCTTCTGAAGGCCACTCTTGTATATAGTGTCTACAAGCAATAAGAAGTTTACCCTACATATCATTTACTCAAGAAGACATGCAGGTCAAGCACAAGCATGATAGACCTTTGTACTACACAGGATACATTGGGTCCTCAGAAATCAGCCATGTCCAAGTTGACCTGTGCTCAGCACTTAGGATCATGCCTTACAGGGTCATGTAGGTCTTAAGGATTCCCATGCATCGGTTGAACACCACCTAGACCACTATCTTTGGTTTAAACGCCAATAGTACTTGACCCCTAGGGAAGATCAAGCTAAGGTGTCAAATAGCAGATCTCAAGTCCGAGGTGACTTATTACATTATAGATGCGGACACGTCCAACAATTTATTGTTGGGGCGGCCATGGATTCATGCAAACCACATTATCCCATCTACCTTACATCAGGTCATGAAGTATGCTAATGATGAAGAGGAAGTTCGAACCCTGATTGCGGAGAAGCGTTCTTTCAGAGGGGTAGAAAACTTCCATACAGATTTTGTTTTCTACTTGGAATCTCAGGAGAAAGCTGAAAAGATGCTGACAGTGGCCACGAAGCCGACATCAAGCCAGATCCTGAAGAAGATTATCCGTGGGAGTTGAACTTCAATGTAATGGGTTAGGTTGAGAGTAATAATAATGTACCGAGCGAGGGCGAGTGGTGCATTAATGAAGATTTCATTTTGGTGTACGTATCTAATGTGTCCTCAAAAAATGAACAAGTAGAGAATGATACTGATACATGTACCAACCCATAGCACACATTATGTGCAAAGGCATCAAACATTGCCGATTAAGTCACCCTTCACTCCAGATGAAGAAGTAGAAGATGCCCAGAAGGCTTTCTTCAAAGTCTCGTACAAAAGGAAAGGGCACAAGCCTATCTATTTTGGAAAAGTTAAACCTGAATTACTCAAATGAGGAAGTTCGGAAGAAGATGACGGGATTCCTCAACTCCATTACCACGAACCCAATTCCATCTACTTGATGAAACGAATGGGTTACAACTTTAAAGAGAGAAAGGGGTTAAATTTCAGGAAAGGAAGACGAACACCGATTCGGATGTCTCTCACCCCCAAAGGTAAACCTCCTGATTACTATCAAAAGACTGGAAGAGGTATGGGTAATGTCACGACCCCTTCCCTTTTAGAAAATAAAACCGATGATTGTCTGTGTTAAGACCATTCATCTGGGACATCATCATGGGAATCCGATGTCAGTGCCGAACCTTTCTTTAAAAGTTTGACCGTGAACATGGTTTCAACTAGTCACCCAGATGAAGATGCAGGGGGTGACAAAGAGTTGATCAAGTTAACTAGTGACCCTTGGATCAAGCGTCTTAATATTTTGTAGGATATGCACTTCGAGCAGCGTGAGCCACCTACTGAAGATAAAGTAATTCAGGTTAACATGGGAGATGAATCCGACCCTAAACCAATCTTCATAAGTGAAAGCCTATCTCCACCTAAGAAAGAAGATCTTGTATCTCTTATTCGAGAGTATATAGATGTATTTGCTTGGAATTATGAAGATATGCCTGGCCTCGATCCGAAGATAGCCATGCGTCATCTCAACTTTGATCCAGACACAAAACCCGTTAAACAATAATAACGTCGGTTTCGCCCAGAGATCATGGAAGCAATTGAGTCGAAAGTCAAAAAGCTTATAAACTCAGGCATTATCAGGGAGGTACAACACCCTGATTGGGTAGCCAATATTGTTCTTGTGCCCAAAAAAAAAGGGTAAGGTCCGGATATGTATTAACTTTCGTGAACTCAATGCAGCATGCTAAAAAGACGAGTTTCCACTTCCCATCACGAATGTCATGATTGACAACACTTATGGATATGAGAGGATGTCTTTCATGGATGGGTTCTCCAGATACAATCAGATCAAGATGTATCCTAAAGATGAAAAGCATACTGCTTTTAGAACTCCACTGGGGGTGTATTGCTACATAGTGATGCCATTTGGATTGAAACATACAGGTGCCACTTATCAACGAGCACTATACGTAATCCTTTACGAACACTTATGAAAAAGGATTGAATGCTATGTTGACGACATAGCAGTGAAAAGCTAACACAAGAGTGATCATCTTACACACCTGAAGACAATGTTCGACATCATGCGAGCACATTAGCTGAAGATGAACCTGACAAAATCATTCCTTAGAGTGTCAAGCGGAAAATTCCTGGGATTTATAGTTACATCCAAGGGAATTTCTCTTGATCCAGAGAAACTTCGTTCTATCCAAGACATGCCGCCTCCGAAGAATCTCAAAGAACTCAGAGGTTTGCAAGGCAGATTGGCTTACATCTGGAGATTCATATCTAATCTCTCGGGATGATGCCAACCTTTTTCCAAACTCATGAAGAAGGGAGTATCCTTCGTTTGGGATGGAGACTGTCAAAAAGCATTTGAGGAGATTAAGAGATATCTTACTCAACCGCCTGTTCTTGCAGCCCTGATATTGGAAAAACCATTCCTGTTATATGTGGGAGCTATGGATCATTCTCTTGGAGATTTATTAGCCAAAAATAATTATCAAGGATAGGAGCAAGCCATCTACTACTTAACTAGGACCATGATGGAAGCCGAACACCAGTATAATTCGGTCGAAAAAGGATGTCTCGCCCTGGTATTTGCTGTCCAAAATATACGATATTACTTGGTTGGGCAAACCATTCATGTCATCTCGAAGGTAAATACTTTAAGAGTTCTTATGAAGAAACCATCCTCCTTAAATGGCCGACTAGCAAAATGGGCTATTCTCCTGTCATAATACAACATGCAATTCATGCCCTAAAAGGCTGTCAAAGGTCAAGCTTTAGCGGATTTCCTAGCCAATCATCCGGTGCCAGGGACGTCTAAGTTGTATGAAGAATTACCCAATGAGGTTGCCGAAGTTTGAACAACCCAAGAGGTTATACGAGTGTGGAAATTATTCTTCGACGGTGCATCTAGGGCAAATCTCCATGGAGCAATTACTGTAAGAGTGGGGGTTATACTCGTTTCCCCGAATGGTCACGTAATCCCAAGAGGATTTTCCCTGATCGAACCCTGCACCAACAATGTAGCTGAGTATAACGCCCAGCTATTGGGGATGCAATTTGTTGAGGAGCTTAACATTCAATACCTCGAAGCATATGGTGACTCTTAACTCATTGTAAATCAAGTCCGTGGAGAATATGAAGTACATAATGAGGATTTCCTTCCATACTACTTCGTAGCACTAGAACAAGCTCAAAAGTTTGAAGGCTTCTTCATTGAATATATCCCATGAGTTCAGAATGCTTATGCAGATGCCTTAGCCTTGCTGTTAACCTCATTAGCGTTGCCCCTAGGGGCTAAAACAATGATTCCTATCACTGGACGCGAATTGTATTATTCCAAGCTTCCTTTAGAAGAACGTTCAGACAAGACAATGACAGGAGAAGTCTGTATAACCTCAATGGAGCTTGAACCCAAGGATTGGCGATTCCTATATATCGATTATGTCTTATACGGAATTTTGCCCGATAATCCTAAGTAAGCGGCCGCTATCAAACGGAAGGCCCTCCGTTTTTATTACGATGCAGTCTCTTAAACTTTGTATTGTAAATCACATGATGGAGTCTTACTTCGTTGTCTTTCTAGTAAGGAAGCAAAAGAGGCTCTCAAGGAAGCTCACGATGGGATATGGGGAGCTCATCAACCCGGGGCTAAGTTGGGAGATCGCCTCTGACGAATTGGCTATTACTGGCCAAAAATGTTTTCAGATGCAGTTGACTATGCTAAATGTTATCACACGTGTAAAATTCATGGTGACTTCATCCATCAAGCCGTAGGAAATTTACATCCTACATCTACGTGTTGGCCATTCGAGATGTGGAGAAATGACATCGTAGGACCAATCTCTCCTCCGACTGCCAAGGGACATCGATTCATTTTGGCCATAGCCGATTACTTCTCCAAATGGGCGGAGACAATCCCATTGAAAGAAGTCAAGACTTCGAATGTGTTTAAATTCATTAAACCTCACGTCATTTACAATTTTGGAATCCCAAGATGAATAGTCCATGACAATGGGACATAATTTGTTAGTTATGGATTCTAGAGATTTTGTGACAAGTTCAGGATCCAGAGCGTTACATCTACAGTATATCATCTTCCAGCAAATGGTCTCGCAGAAGCTTTTAACAAGACCATTATAAAGCTTCTCAAAAAATTGGTTTCTAAGAGCCGACACGATTGGGATGAAAGACTCGGTGAATGTCTGTGGGCCTACCGTACAATGGTGAGGACCCCTACAAAATCCACTCCTTTCTCCTTGTTATATGGCTGCGAAGCTGTGTTGCCATTGGAAATCTAGATCCCTTCTCTGAGAATCCCCATCATGACCGGAATGATAGAGGAGGAGAAACATCGACTGCGCCTTCAGGAACTTGAAGCCTTAGATGACAAGCGACTCCAAGCTCAGCAGCAGATTGAGTTATATCAAGCCCAAATTTCTAAAGCCTACAACAAAAAGGTTAAAGAATGGATTTTCAAGAAAGGTGATTTGGTCTTAGCCGTCAGACGACCCATGGTGATGACACACAAGACCAAAGGGAAATTCAATCACAAATGGGAAGAGCCGTTCGTAATAGAGTCAGTCTATTCCAATGGAGTTTACCGTCTCATCGATAAAAAAGGCAACAGGCTCATGATGCCAATTAATGAAAATTTTCTCAAAACATATCACCCATAAGCTATGAAGCCCCTTTCTCTAAATTTCTAGTTAAGTCTGACTAGGGATTGCGTACTGGAAGTTTGTTTGAACAAGGAATTATACATTATTTCTCCTACTTTGTATGTCGTCAAGTTAACATTACACCTCTTACGATTGAAGTTGTCGAGAATTATTATAATAAAGAAAATTCCCAAAATATGCTAGACAGTTATATCAATCAGTGCAATTCAGTGGAAAAGTCCCAACAACTTGGAATGCATTCCCAAGGTTAAGAGAGAAGTCATCTAGCCTTCCTGAACGCAAGTCTCATAGCTGCGTTTCAAATCTCATAGTTGTGCTTAAATATCTTAGACGCAAGGCCCAACCCCGCATTTTTGACTTCTAAAATGGGATAGATCTGCGTTGAATTCAATTAAACACAAAGATTTAGCCCTAACAAGGAAATTTTCAAAGATTACTCCAACAATAACAGAGAAAGTCTCTAATCCAAAGTCATGATTAAAACATCACAATAAGATCACAGCATTTTAGAAAATCATAACACAGAAAATGCAACGAAAGGACAATATATATCAGTAGTTCACCTCAAGCAGAAGATAAGTGTTTTGCAAAATAGCATAAAGTTATTACAAAATTAATAACAACTGTCGTGGGGCTTAAGGTAAACAAAAGTTGAGGAGATAAGTCTCGGTTTCAGAGATATCCCTCTCGTGCTTTGCCAGCACTTCATCTTCAGCCTTTTTATGGAGTTGAACGTCGGAGGATACAGTCACAGCAGAAGCTTCTTGCTGCATTGTCTAAACGGCTTCCTTTTCTACTTGAACCCTCACATTGAGGGTAGCATCCTCGAGATCGAACTCTTCTGGGGTTAGTTCCCCTGCAATAAGCTTGGCCCTTGCGCAGCGGCGCTGCTCTTGTAAGCGCCAGATGGAAGCTTTCTTCTCTGAAATGCTGTGGGCTCGAGCTCTGTCATCCACTTTCTTCTTTAGCCAAACATTGCTTATGGACCATTGTATCTTGGGCCCTAAATCTGTGTGCTTCAGCTCCTTCAAAAAACGAATGGCGTCTGAGAAGCGGTGGATTTTCTCCGCACAACATCGAGCATAATGAAGGTTGACTTAAGCGAGGCTGTTTAATCCTTCCTTGATAAACGTGAGGAATTCATAGAAGGAGCACTAACCATGCATCACGATGGAGAAGGCTTGCTTCACCTGGTTCTCTAAGCGCTTAAGGAGGAAGAGGGTACAATTGGGCCTCAAATAAAGCGTCTCAGAAGTTACCCGCTCATAATTCTCATTTGGGAGAATCATGGAGATGGGTTGAACTGAAGGGACGTAGCCCGAGTCATATGGGATGATGGGCTTGGTAGCAGAAGAACCATCTTGCAAAACAAATAAAAGTGAAGTTAATAACAGATGAATTCAAATACAGGAATCCAGACTTGCGTCAAAGTCAACTTAGACGCAAGAAACTAGACCCGTGTTGAATCATTCTAAATGCAGAAAATGAAATCTATATTATGATTTCGTAAAAACAAAGGGATTTAATCCTGCGTTGTCCTTCTTAAACGTAGTAGGATTAAACCGGCATTTCAAAATGAGGGGATTGACCTTTCGTGTCATTAATAAGCGCACAGGTTTATTTCTGCGCTCGAGATTAAGAAGACGAACAATCTTCGTCTTTGTCAGTCAGAAAACACTTAAGGGGTTTGAAGAAAACTTATCAAAAAGGATGCTAAACGAAGAAGACAACATGGCTAACCTCGATGATCGGATGTTGGCGAGGGAGGCGTTGACGGCGGTCCAGAGGTGCACCCAAAAACATTCCCCGATGATAGCATAGTGTGCGCCACCCCTTTGTCTCCTCTTGAGCAAGATCCCTTGAAAGCCATGACCTGAAGCGACTCGAAACGATCGAGGAGTTCTGGAACTAACGAGAAGTAACTTGTTTATGAGTTTAAGACGGAAGTTTAAGCGTTTTGGGTTCTTGATAAGACCGATCAGGTCTATTTATATTCACTGTGGATGGTATGGAGTTTCGAGACTCCCGCTCAAGTGTGGTCTCTTCATCATCATTATAGTCATTTAGACTTCTAATAAGACGTGGGACAAGACTCCATGTTTAAAGGACGTGAGAATGAGGCCAAACGCAATGATCTAGAGATGCGTTCAAATCTCTAGTGATGTTCCAGACATGCGTGGCCTGGCTTCAATAAAGGATTAGCCCTAGGTTCAAAGGCCCAAATGCAGAGGGTACCTCTACTCTTGCGTTTTTAAAACATGGCACTGAATCTCTATGGCCACACATTGTGTCTCTTTGTAGAGTGTCATTAGAA